GGATGGGTTTATGGGAGAGGTGAGGTAAGGAGGGGGTTAATGGGAGAGGTGAGGTAGGTAGGGGTTAATGGGAGAGGTGAGATAAGGAGGGGGTTAATGGGAGAGGTGAGGTAAGGAGGGGGTTAATGGGAGGTGAGATAAGGAGGGGGTTAATGGGAGAGGTGAGGTAAGGAGGGGTTAATGGGAGAGGTGAGGTAGGTAGGGGCTAATGGGAGAGGTGAGATAAGGAGGGGGTTAATGGGAGAGGTGAGGTAAGGAGGGGGTTAATGGGAGGTGAGATAAGGAGGGGGTTAATGGGAGAGGTGAGGTAAGGAGGGGTTAATGGGAGAGGTGAGATAAGGAGGGGTTAATTGGGAGAGGTGAGGTAAGGAGGGGGTTAATGGGAGAGGTGAGGTAAGGAGGGGTTAATGGGAGAGGTGAGATAAGGAGGGGGTTAATGGGAGAGGTGAGATAAGGAGGGGGTTAATGGGAGAGGTGAGATAAGGAGGGGGTTAATGGGAGAGGTGAGGTGAGGAGGGGGTTAATGGGAGAGGTGAGGTGAGGAGAGGGTTAATGGGAGAGGTGAGGTGAGGAGGGGTTTAATGGGAGAGGTGAGGTAAGGAGGGGGTTAATGGGAGAGGTGAGGTAAGGAGGGGGTTAATGGGAGAGGTGAGGTAAGGAGGGGGTTAATAGGAGAGGTGAGATAAGGATGGGTTTAATGGGAGAGGTGAGATAAGGAGGGGGTTAATGGGAGAGGTGAGGTAAGGAGGGGGTTAATGGGAGAGGTGAGGTAAGGAGGGGGTTAATGGGAGAGGTGAGATAAGGAGGGGGTTAATGGGAGAGGTGAGGTGAGGAGGGGGCTAATGGGAGAGGTGAGGTGAGGAGAGGGTTAATGGGAGAGGTGAGGTGAGGAGGGGTTTAATGGGAGAGGTGAGGTAAGGAGGGGGTTAATGGGAGAGGTGAGGTAAGGAGGGGGTTAATGGGAGAGGTGAGGTAAGGAGGGGGTTAATAGGAGAGGTGAGATAAGGATGGGTTTAATGGGAGAGGTGAGATAAGGAGGGGGTTAATGGGAGAGGTGAGGTAAGGAGGGGGTTAATGGGAGAGGTGAGGTAAGGATGGGGTTAATGGGAGAGGTGAGGTAAGGAGAGGGTTAATGGGAGAGGTGAGGTAAGGAGGGGTTAATGGAAGAGGTGAGATAAGGAGGGGGTTAATGGGAGAGGTGAGGTAAGGAGGGGTTAATGGGAGAGGTGAGATAAGGAGGGGGTTAATGGGAGAGGTGAGGTAAGGAGGGGTGAATGGGAGAGGTGAGGTAAGGATGGGTTTATGGGAGAGGTGAGGTAAGGAGGGGGTTAATGGGAGAGGTGAGGTAGGTAGGGGTTAATGGGAGAGGTGAGATAAGGAGGGGGTTAATGGGAGAGGTGAGGTAAGGAGGGGGTTAATGGGAGGTGAGATAAGGAGGGGGTTAATGGGAGAGGTGAGGTAAGGAGGGGTTAATGGGAGAGGTGAGGTAGGTAGGGGCTAATGGGAGAGGTGAGATAAGGAGGGGGTTAATGGGAGAGGTGAGGTAAGGAGGGGGTTAATGGGAGGTGAGATAAGGAGGGGGTTAATGGGAGAGGTGAGGTAAGGAGGGGTTAATGGGAGAGGTGAGATAAGGAGGGGTTAATGGGAGAGGTGAGGTAAGGAGGGGGTTAATGGGAGAGGTGAGGTAAGGAGGGGTTAATGGGAGAGGTGAGATAAGGAGGGGGTTAATGGGAGAGGTGAGGTAAGGAGGGGGGGGGTTAATGGGAGAGGTGAGGTAAGGAGGGGGTTAATGGGAGAGGTGAGGTAAGGAGGGGTTAATGGGAGAGGTGAGATAAGGAGGGGGTTAATGGGAGAGGTGAGATAAGGAGGGGGTTAATGGGAGAGGTGAGATAAGGAGGGGGTTAATGGGAGAGGTGAGGTGAGGAGGGGGTTAATGGGAGAGGTGAGGTGAGGAGAGGGTTAATGGGAGAGGTGAGGTGAGGAGGGGTTTAATGGGAGAGGTGAGGTAAGGAGGGGGTTAATGGGAGAGGTGAGGTAAGGAGGGGGTTAATGGGAGAGGTGAGGTAAGGAGGGGGTTAATAGGAGAGGTGAGATAAGGATGGGTTTAATGGGAGAGGTGAGATAAGGAGGGGGTTAATGGGAGAGGTGAGGTAAGGAGGGGGTTAATGGGAGAGGTGAGGTAAGGAGGGGGTTAATGGGAGAGGTGAGATAAGGAGGGGGTTAATGGGAGAGGTGAGGTGAGGAGGGGGCTAATGGGAGAGGTGAGGTGAGGAGAGGGTTAATGGGAGAGGTGAGGTGAGGAGGGGTTTAATGGGAGAGGTGAGGTAAGGAGGGGGTTAATGGGAGAGGTGAGGTAAGGAGGGGGTTAATGGGAGAGGTGAGGTAAGGAGGGGGTTAATAGGAGAGGTGAGATAAGGATGGGTTTAATGGGAGAGGTGAGATAAGGAGGGGGTTAATGGGAGAGGTGAGGTAAGGAGGGGGTTAATGGGAGAGGTGAGGTAAGGATGGGGTTAATGGGAGAGGTGAGGTAAGGAGGGGGTTAATGGGAGAGGTGAGGTAAGGAGGGGTTAATGGAAGAGGTGAGATAAGGAGGGGGTTAATGGGAGAGGTGAGGTAAGGAGGGGTTAATGGGAGAGGTGAGATAAGGAGGGGGTTAATGGGAGAGGTGAGGTAAGGAGGGGTGAATGGGAGAGGTGAGGTAAGGATGGGTTTATGGGAGAGGTGAGGTAAGGAGGGGGTTAATGGGAGAGGTGAGGTAGGTAGGGGTTAATGGGAGAGGTGAGATAAGGAGGGGGTTAATGGGAGAGGTGAGGTAAGGAGGGGGTTAATGGGAGGTGAGATAAGGAGGGGGTTAATGGGAGAGGTGAGGTAAGGAGGGGTTAATGGGAGAGGTGAGGTAGGTAGGGGCTAATGGGAGAGGTGAGATAAGGAGGGGGTTAATGGGAGAGGTGAGGTAAGGAGGGGGTTAATGGGAGGTGAGATAAGGAGGGGGTTAATGGGAGAGGTGAGGTAAGGAGGGGTTAATGGGAGAGGTGAGATAAGGAGGGGTTAATGGGAGAGGTGAGGTAAGGAGGGGGTTAATGGGAGAGGTGAGGTAAGGAGGGGTTAATGGGAGAGGTGAGATAAGGAGGGGGTTAATGGGAGAGGTGAGGTAAGGAGGGGGGGGGGGGGTTAATGGGAGAGGTGAGGTAAGGAGGGCGTTAACTGGGGGAGGTGAGGTAAGGAGGGGGTTAATGGGAGAGGTGAGGTAAGGAGGGGTTTAATGGGAGAGGTGAGGTAAGGAGGGGTTTAATGGGGAGAGGTGAGGTAAGGAGGGGGTTAATGGGAGAGGTGGGGGTAAGGAGGGGGTTAATGGGAGAGGTGAGATAAGGAGGGGGTTAATGAAAGAGGTGAGATAAGGAGGGGTTAAAGGGAGAGGTGAGGTAAGGAGAAGGGTTAATGGGAGAGGTGAGGTAAGGAGGGGGTTAATGGGAGAGGTGAGGTAAGGAGGGGGGTTAATGGGAGAGGTGAGGTAAGGAGAAGGGTTAATGGGAGAGGTGAGGTAAGGAGGGGGTTAATGGGAGAGGTGAGGTAAGGAGGGGGTTAATGGGAGAGGTGAGGTAAGGAGGGGTTAATGGGAGAGGTGAGGTAAGGAGGGGTTAATGGGAGAGGTGGTTCTTGGGTAAGTGGTACACGGAGGTATTAAATGAGAGGGGTAACAGATGGAGGGGGTTAAGGAGAGGTGGCACAAAAAGGTAATTGAAGGGAAAAGTGATAGATGAAGGGAAACAAAGAATGGACACACTCGAGCTGACATGGAGCAAATAATGGACACTAAACAAAGAACGGACGTACGCTAAAGATTGAACTTACACTAAAGAACGGACACTTTAAAGTAGACACTAAAATATTGGACACCCACGAAAGATCGGACACTCACTAAAGGTTGGACACTCACCGGCTTCTCCGACATGCTGATCTGCGACACGAAGTAGAATGACGTCACGATAAGGGCCCCACACAGGCCCACAAAACACCAGCGGCCCACCCGGTGAGTCACAGCGTGATGGAACGGCCCGCGGAAAAACCGCACGGCCATGTTTGGTCCGCCCGTCGTCTGCGGGGATTTCCGTTTCCTGCACGTTCCTGATTGGCTGCAGCACCGGAAGCACGGCCAGGTCCAAGAAGCCCAATACTAGACTCATGAATAAGTAAAATTTTTTTTTTTTTTTTTTTTTTTTTTTTTAAACGGAGTATAACCAATCGACTTTAAATATGGTTTATATGGTTTTGCTTAAAAACAGCGGGGTAATTTTTATACCAGTGTACGATAATAGATTCTTCTTTAAATAATGGGTGTTAGGTTACTAGTAGTATACTAAATACACACTTAGCTGACTAATGTAAATGTTAACCCTGTCCCTAACCCTAACCCAACCCTAGTCCCACCATACAGCTAACCCTAATTTCTAACCAGAGATTACAATATTACTAACAACCCAACACATCGGTATGTAAAATCATCCAAAACAGCGTTTTAAAATCCCATTCATCGTTGAAAGAAGAATTTTATTTGTCAGTAGGAGTTGGCCTACTGAACTCATTACCTTTCGATTATTTCATATGTGTAAGCATTTTAATAGTGATTCTTTTCACTATATTTATTTTAGTTTTTATTCCAATACATTAGATTGTCGTTTAATTAGTAAATTTAACCATTTTTTTTTATATTTAAAAAAATATCTTCTTACTAGTATATTTTAAAATCTTTTTTTTTGTAAAAACCATTTCACCCGTTATCACATTTATATAAAACGCAAAATCCTTAACGCAGTGTTTCTTCTAGACTTTTATCTCCGGGGGGGGGGGGGGGGGCTGCTCGAATTTTTTTTTGGGGGGGGGGGCTGCTCGAATTTTTTTTGGGGGGGGGGGAGGGCGGACTAAATGTTTCGGGGGGGGGGGGAAGACTTTCTACGGTTGGAAAAAAATGAACACTAACCCGGACCTAGCCTTGACCTTACCTTGTGATGCAATATAACGCAGGTTGGGAAGAAGATGATGGCTGAAAAAAAGTTGAAAACCACGAGCACGGCTGAAAAAATTCCGAATGAGTTGACCGCAAGCAGGGGGGAGAATGCGTTGGAGATGAACGCCACGAACGTTGTCAGCGATGTGATGAGCATAGACTTGGATGCACGTCGGTAGCATGCGCTAGTGGTGAGTACAAGTCGTTAATTAAAGAATGCATAGTTTTAATAATAAACACAACATTTTGAAAAGAAATTTCAATAAAAAAAATTTTAGATTTATTATATAAACGTTTTTTTTTTTTAAATTTCGTTTTCTTCTTTGGTTTCAAATATTTAAATGCATTTTTAATTTTTTTTTTTGTGTGCCCAAGACAGACTAGGCAAATAAAGAACGAGTTCAGCTGTTTATAGATCTCAGCATGAAAGGGGATAGTTGGTCAGTATTGTGTTTCTCTGTTAAGTTCCCCTTTCAAACCTGACTGTCTATGAGGCAAGTGAAATGGAGTTTATCTGTTTCTGTGACCTCAGCATATGAAGAGGTAGTGTGGTCAGCACTATGTCCAGCCGCCTTTACTTACCCTAACGTGAGTTAGGTACCCATCAATGCTGGGTTGACTCAGGGACTGTCTACTGTATTGAACCGGTATTCGAACTCGAGAATTACAGGTAAGCAGTCTAGCTCTCTACCGCTAGGCCACAACGTCTCATATACATTTACTTGTTTACTTTCAAATATTTACTTTTCACGCGAGTCCCAATATCACGTCAAATAGATAAAGTAGAGTGCATCAGTTTATTTACCTCGGAGTTAAAATAAAATATTGTGGTCTGCATTCTAACCAACCGCTTAAGATTTCCCAAACGTGAGTCGGCTACACATCGGAATTGAATGAACGCAGGAGACATAGCGACCTATTTTGGCGAACTTTGCGCCCTTCCCCTCCCCTAATTTGTGGCATTATTTACATGGCATTAGCAAAAAAGAGCCCCAACCCCACCCCACCCTAGTTAAGAAAAGTCACTCTCCCTTAAAGGTTTTTGTTTTTGTGTCACACAATTGATGTAGAAAACACTGAAATAAGCCCGCAAAACCGAGTAACAGTCTATTTCCGTAACTTCGACTGTGTACTATTTAGTAATGCAGATCAAAATAAAACTTTTAAATTTTTTTTTCTACCCCGTTCGGCGCCCCACTAACATCGGTGCCTGGGACAGCCGTTCCACCCGTCCTCCCTTAGCTACGCCTCTGCTGAACACAGGTGGGTCCTATGAACTCGAGCCTGGGATCCGAACTCGAGACTTTAGGGTTAGGGGTCGTACGCTCTACCACCCGACCACGCCTTTTAAATACTACCTGTGGTTAACCCTATACAAACCTCTAGTCCCATCTATGTGAACTTACCTTAACCTCTGCTCTATGTCCCCGTGTTCTTCGTGTCCCGTAGCGCGCCAGGTATCGTTGAAGACAAATATATTGTCCGCACCGATACCGAGTATAATGAATATCGATAACACGTGGAAAATTCCGAAATACCTGAAGAAAAACACATATCAAAACGTGTACTGTAAGGCATATCTTGAAAAAAAAATCAATCATATATCTAGAAAGATTGTAAAATTGTGTATTATATCTAAAGATATTAAATATTTCTCTAGTATTCTTCAGAAATTCTTTGTTTTCACTATCATCATGAATGATCGTAATATTCTTACAATCTGAAGAAATGAAGTGTTTTCTCTATTATTTAGAAGGGATTCAATTTAACTCTAATTACACTGCCTAGTACTAGTCTGATTTATAAAATTTACAAGTTCACACGAAAAATTAGTGAAAATAGATAGCAGTTTGGTCTCGAATATTTTGTCACTGAAATATTTTAATTGAGATTACTGTTGTTGAGATATTGTGTACTTTACGCTGAGTTATTTCATCGACATTAAGAAAAAAAATATTTTGTTCTTGTGATATTTAAATATTTAATCCTCGATATATTATAAATGTGATATTATGTACAAAAGAGAGCTTCCTAAAACAGAATCCGGTGCAGAGGTATAGCTGTAGCCTTTTGCTTCTCAGGGGCTTCAAGGAAAAAAGTCAATACATTTTTTCAATGAGAATATTTTAGCAGAAAATGTATGGCATGGTTGTATTTTACTCAATTGTTATCCAAGACAATCATATAGACCAGGTTGGGTCTCGTATAGCTGACAGGTACGCTGTTAATGGATAGTATTGTCTTCTCTTCTTCTTTTCACGCTCGTGTCCAAGACACACGGAGCAGGTGAAGTAGAGTTCATCTGTTTCAGAGACCTCGGTATATAAAGGGATAGTGTGGTCGACATTATGCCTAGCAGTCTTTAATTTCCCTAGCGTGAGTCAGGTACCGATCAGAGCTGGGTGGACTCAGGGACATTCTACTGTCTTCAACCAGGATTCGAACTCGAGACTTCGGTTTAGTAGTGTATCTATATACTGATAGGCCACTGAAAATATACTACCAGTATACTCAGATTCTGTAAGCCTATATTATTTTACCTACTTATTATCCATGATTATCCTATAGATCATAGCAAACTGGTCAGTATGTTGATAATGGACATTGTTTTACTCACTTATAATCCAGGATAATCCTATAGACCAGATTAGTGCCTAAGAAACTGATCAGTATGCTGGTAATGGGCATCGTTTTACTCACTTATAATCCAGGATTATCCAATACACCAGATTAGTGCCTAAGAAGCTGGTCAGTATGCTAAAAATGGACATTGTTTTACTTACTTATAATCCAGGATAATCCTATAGACCAGATTAGTGCCTAAGAAGCTGGTCTGTATGGTGATAATGGACATTGTTTTACTCACTTATAATCCAGGATAATCCTATAAACCAGATTGGTGCCTAAGAAGCTGGTCAGTATGCTGATAATGGACATTGTTTTACTTACTTATAATCCAGGATAATCCTATAAACCAGATTAGTGCCTAAGAAGCTGGTCAGTATGGTGATAATGGACATTGTTTTACTCACTTATAATCCAGGATAATCCTACAGACCAGATTAGTGCCTAAGAAGCTGGTCAGTATGCTGATAATGGACATTGTTTTACTCACTTATAATCCAGGATAATCCTATAGACCAGATTAGTGCCTAAGAAGCTGGTCAGTATGCTGGCGATGGACAACGAGGTCAAGAAGAGGGAGTTGGTCTGGATGAGCATGAAGATGAAGATGAAGAGGAAGGAACCGACAGCCAGCAGGAGGTCGTAGATGACTTGTTGGAAGATGTCATGGAAGAGAAGCTGGAGAGAAGGGTGGGGGAGGTGGGTGGGGGGAGGAGTGAAATGTCAATCATATCAGTTGTTGTTGTTGTTTTATCGGGTAAATGACGAACAAAAAAAAAAAAAAAAAAAAATATATATATATATATATATATATATATATATATATATATATATATATATATATATATATATGTATGTATGTATATAATTTTATATATATACATATATATATATATATATATATATATATATATATATATATATATATATATGTATGTATGTATGTATATAATTTTATATATATACATATATATATATATATATATATATATATATATGTAAATATATATATATATTATATATATATATATATATATATATATATATATATATATATATATATATATATATATATATATATATATATGTATATAATTTGGAAACTGCTTCCATTTCAATCTCAACAAGTAATTTATCCTTTGAGATGGTGTTAGGCCGTTGTATGCCTTTTATCATTCGCAAGCATTTATTTTGAAAGATTCACAAATGTAAAACGGTAAAACCAAACAATGCAGTCCACCGAACTATCCCGATCAACACACCATACAACTTGTATTTTGATTTACAGTTTGATTCTACTTTTTAAATCTCTTCTTTTATCACAAAGTAAGGTCGACTTGTTCGATTGTTAATAGCTCTATCTTCTTCCTTTTCACGGAAAAAATTTCTTTCACGTATAAATAAGTGTTTTCCATTTATATAAAACGTATATCTTTTGTTTTTAATCGGAAATAATATTAAACTACTCATTGAGAAATAATTTAAAAACAAAAATTTATTTGTAGTATATTTATGTCACTCAAGTCCAGTGTTGTTTCCTAATGAATACAGTCAAGAGAATTAGAGCAATGAAATATATATATATATATATATATATATATATATATATATATATATATATATACAAATATATATATATATATGTATATGTATATATATATATATATATATATATATATATATATATATATATATATATATATATATATATATTTAATCTTTTTAAATTATTTTTTTCACTAAACATTTTTTTTATTGTTTGAAGTTTAATAAAATTAAGTTCAAAATCCACATGTTGTACAAAATTTCACTCACACAAAACCACTAAACAACTTTTTTTCAGACTGACCAATCATATTTTCTTTTCAAAATGTTTATGTCCCTATTTATGTTTCTAATGTTATTCAGATGTACTTTTTTTTTTAAAAAACAATCCATTGTTTTTTTAAATTTAACACAATCCGTCACATTTTACAATCCCAAGCTTTTTTAAAAATCTTTATTAAAATGTAAGTTCCTTTCAAATCAAATATGTCAAGTTAGTTAAATAAAACAGATGAAAAAGGCTTTAACATCAAAGTTTATACTATCATTTCAAGTTCTCTGGCATATTCAATGGTTTGTGTAGCTAATATTTTGGCAGGGATGGTGTGATCAGCATCCTTAGCTTCATAAATAAAGTGAAAAAAGTCTTTCTCTAATCTCCATTTTCTCTGAGTAGCATATTCCTTCATTGGTTTTTGGGCTTCTAAGAAAAGCATTCTTGCAGCTTCATTAAGACCAATACGGTTGTATGCTTTTTCTATGCACCCTGCTATTTCATCTCTGATGGTGTTCAGTAAAATATCAATGAAGAAGTTATAGTTGTCTGCTGGAACATTTCCTCTGGCTAGATAAACCTTATTGTAACTTCCCTCCATTAAATACTGTTCCATGCTTACTGGATGTTTGATATAAATGTTATTCTGAATCTCCTTTACAGGTAACAGTTCCAGTTCAGTGTGAAATTCTGCTAATTTATTTTGAGAAAGTAGACACAAAAGGTTCAGTCTTAAAAGCTGGTATTGAAAGCAGGCTATGGAAGGTCATTCTTGTAATCCATATAATAACATTTTAATTGGGCCATGTATCTTTCAAATGCTGGAATATCCTTTTTAGCAATAGCCCATTGTGCTCCAATTTCAAGTATATCTCGAGCAATTAGCAATTCATGCTGGTCACTGACGCCTCTGTTGTTGGTAGAAATGCAACTTGGGTGAGTGACAACTTGAGTTTTGATAGAAGTTCTTCGGACTTTTCTAAATTTTGTGGCTTACTATCCCTTACACGTTTTAAATTTTGATACAACGCAACAATTTCTTTAACCGTAGCGTTAGCCATTTAGGTTAATCTCTATTTTTTTTTCTCTAATAATATAAAATTTTTTCAGCCTATCTCTAGTTATAAATGCTGACAAAGTTGAACTGTCCATTATTTAACAAGTAGGTATTAAATAAAACTACAGTTTTTATTTTTTTAAATAGACTAGTAGTCTAATTTAAAATTTAAAATTTTATTAAACAATCACAATAGTATTATACAAATTATTTTTGTAAATAAAAAAAGTATAAAATATTTTTGTTTGTTTTATATCTTATCAACTGTTTTATTTTTATTTACTTTTGAGAACAAAAGGATTTTTCATTACTCTATTCTGAGTTAAATTTGTAATGGGAAGTAACTAGTATAGATTTAAAATTCAATGTAACACAATCAACTATTTTTCAACGACGTTGTGTGTCTACACTTTATAAAAAAAAAATAATGAAACACACTCTTGTATTGTTTATTCAAATAATATAACGAGAGTAGAAACATTTAAGTATCAAGTTTTTTATATTACATTATCATTTTAATGCAAGAGTAATTTTTTTAAAAATATTTTAAATACTACGAATAATCTTTATTCATACATGCACTTATCAATAAGAAAATGTAACGCAAAAATTCTATAATAGTAGTAGATTATGATAGAAACTTTTTAAAATTCTTCACAATGTTTATATAGCAAATGACTTTGGACCTTTGTAAATATGTATGTAGGCCTGCGATTTTAATTTTTTGTTGTTGAAAGTTTAATTTATGTAGCTCTAAAGTTTGTGAGCATAATTTCAACATGTGAATTCTTTTAAAAATGTTAATCTTCCTAGAAACAAAATTTCTAGGAAATAAAATGTTTAATAACAATGCAATCACCGTAGAGCACATTTATTAATAAGAGAACAGTTTTTATTTTTTAAAATTATTTTTCTGATCAACGATGAAACATGGATTTTTTTCAAAGTATAATCAAATAAATACACACAAACATATGTTTGTATGTGTGTAAGAGAGAGGATATATATATATATATATATATATATATATATATATATATATATATATATATATATATATATGCAGAGGTGTACCGAGGGGGGGGGGGGTTGCGTACCGCACTGGGTGACACATTTTGGGGGGAGTGACAACAAGGCGAAAAATAGCAAAATGTATACAGAAAAATGATAATTTCACTTAATTAAATGATGAATTAGAGTGAATTAAATAGTCTTTTAAGAGTAAAGGTTTACTAATTCCGACACGGGTGGAGGGGGGGGGGGGTGACATCATGACGTAAACCTGCTGATGATAAAGAAAACATGCAACCGAATATAGATGCAAATCGTTAGTATTATATGAGCACAGTTTAAACCAATCACCGTGGGGGTGACGAGGGGGAGGGGGGGAGTTACATCAACTCAACTTTGCAATATATATGCCTGAGGAAAACGGTTTGGTTGAGAATCGTAACAAACTATATGTTAATCCATGTATGGGGGTGGGGTTGGGGGGGGGAATAAATACATCCAGCAGAAAAAAATATTTGAATACCTATACACATGCGTATACACATACTTACAAGTGTATATGGAATATATATATATATATATATATATATATATATATATATATATATATATATATATCATTATGTTATATAAGTATATATATATATATATGATTATGTAAAAGTGTTAACGAAACATTTCTCTGATTAATTTACATTTCGTTGGTCAGATTTTACAACAGGAAATCAGCAAGGTCATTTGCTTTGAATATTGAGCAGTCGAATTGAAGATTTTTAAACTAGACCTCTAATCTGTCTTTTAAACTAGACCACTCACCTGTCTACTAAACTAGACCACTCACCTCCTAAACTAGTCCACTCACCTGCGGACTGAATTTTACGGAGGGGGGGGGGAGTTTACACTGTCAAAAGTACATCTATAAATTCCATTTCGTTCGTGTGTGTGTGGGGGGGGGGGTAGATTTTTTCAGGGGGCGGGGGCTCTGTCCCCGAAGAGATGCATGGATGAAACACTGCCATTCACCTGTCTACTAAACATGAGCACTCACCTGTCTACTAAACTAGACCACTCTACTAAACTAGACCACTCACATGTCTACTAAACTAGACCACTCACATGTCTACTAAACTAGACCACTCTACTAAACACGACCACTCACCTGTCTACTAAACTAGACCACTCACCTGTCTACTAAACTAGACCACTCTACTAAACACGACCACTCACCTGTCGCGACTGAAAGTTGACAGACATTCCTCTGAGACCAGAGTCTAGCACGTCATACAGGTCTCCACGGAAGTTATCTACCTGTGGCAAGGTGTTGAAGAAAATCGTGGTCAGGGTTTGTCCATGGAGGTCATTGACGAGTTTTTAAAGAACAATTAGTCAATTATTAGACACAGAAGTTGGAGATGGCTGGATCATGTGCTAAGCTAAGAATGAGAGCAAACAATGGCTAGGACTAATATCAGATGGACACCACAGGGTAATAGAAAACGAGGGCTTCTAAAAGAAAAATATATACGAGGAACGATGAAGAAATGAAGGTCTAACATTCCAACAGGTAAGAGACAGGATGAATGCAGCTTGATGCTTTGTGAGCCTATGAGCGCTGTGAGATGACGATGACGGTAATAAACTACTTCACACTCGTATGTGGAGGGGGGATTCGGATTTTTGTTGTGATGAAGAAGGGAGGGGGGGGGGAGGGATTTCGGAAAAGCAATAATAAATCTCTTCATTTTAAAAACAAGTTAATTAAAAAGTCTAGTGACATTAATGCGCAATTTCCTTATGTTATCTAAAAATAGCTCTGACGTATAATGCTGGGATGCGTTCAAGCTAGAAGAACGATCGGTTTGTAGGTGTTTATGTAATTTTAAAATTTGTGACTAAACGAGAGGATATTTTTGAAAACTTTCTTCGGCAATATTGTTCTAAATTATGGCAGGAATCGATTGGTACATGTTTCAAGTCGCTAAGTGGTCTGGTTGCCGAGATATGGGCCAAAAACTGCATTTGTTCGAGGTTTTTTGGCTTTTCCGGGAAATACATGAAAGAAACCCGGAATTTTTATGGCCTATGCTCATTCTCGTAACTTGCTTAACATAATTGCTTTTGGAACTAGTCATCGATATTGCTTCGTTGAGGAGGAGATACGACTTAAAGCCCGGACACACATTCATCCATACATTCATTCATCCATCCATCCATCCATTCCCAGAA